AAACCCTAAAACCCTAAGCCCCGAAATCAGGGATCCGTAAGGCCCCGCAGCGTCTCTCCGAGGCAGCGGCAACGAAACGGCGGAGTCTCTGCGCCGCGCGAAAGAGGCCATATGGGTAGTTCTCTAAATTAGGGTTTAGGGTTTAGGGTTAAGAGGCCATATGGGTAGTTCTCTAAATTAGGGTCCTTTTTGGGGTCCTTTTTATATGGGTCCCTTAAAGGGACCCTTGGGGTTATATAGGGGCTTCATGAAACCATATAAGGAGTATATAAGGGTTAACAAGGGTATTTGGACGAGGGTTCCCTTCTAGGAGTCCTTGGTATTGTCCCTTAAATGAAAGAACCCTGGAGCGGTCTGGGAGGTTAGGAGATACGTTTCACAAATGCATGCTGAACCGCTGGGTTTAGGGTTTAGGGGAATCGCTTATGGAAGCCCTATGTACTACTGGCACTTGCACCAGCATCTAACTTGCCTGCGAGTACCTTTCGCTTTCCAATAAATCAACCTACTCCATAGGCAAGTCTCCTGCTCCTTTCAGTAGACCCTAAACCCGACCCTGACCGCGCATGAAACCTAACAAAGCCCAAATCCGAAATCCGGAAAACCTTGACCTAGGAATACCGGCCCTGATGCTCTCGCCAGCTGAAACCCTAAACTAGGCATAGGAAGGTTCCCCGTTCATTCCGAGCTTCCTTACAAGGAAGTGTATTCCCACTGGGAAGTGTTTAGGAACAACCTCTAATCTCCGAGCCTTTGCAACATGCTTAATAATCCCTACTTAGAGCCCTAAACCCCAAACCCTTAAGACCGAAAACACAAAAACAAGGATAAGGCGAGCTGGTAAGTAGGTTACAATAAGTAGACTTCTGGGGGTACCCGAATTCAGCCCGTCTACTTATAACCGGTTTATGGTCTTAGGGTTTAGGGGGTTGGAGTTTAGGGTTTAGGGGCTTAGGGTTTAGAACCTACTCGCTGGCTCCCCCGATACTACCTTTGGAGCAAGCCCCCCCCCATGTCTCTCCAGGAGAGTGAGTCCATGAGCACTCTGAGATATGTAGCCTGCATGCATGTCAGGAATCCTTTACAGAATTTGGGCTAAAGATGGTTCAGGGAGCGTCAAGGTTTGAGGTTTGGGGTAGTGTGCGGTTTGAGATGTTGTGTTCAGTCTTCCGGGCGCATCTTACGCCGCGAATCACAGTCCCTGCTAGAATTCACACTACTGTTGTTGTTTGACTGATTCGTGTCGTGATGCTTGTGGCTAGGTGTGTGGGCATCAGCATTACGACTGCTGTGTTGAGGATGATGGTCGTGGATTCTTGTCGCTGTGCTAAGTTATGCTCGCTGTTCGTGTCATTCCTGTGTCTTGCTCTTGTTGCTGTGACGATAGCTGCTGCATGGTGGTGTTGGCACTACCCTATTTGCTTTTTTGCAATACTTAATGTTGCATGCTTCTGGTTGGTACGACTTTCGAGTGTCAGTTTAGGGTTTAGGTTTTCTGGCAATACAAGAATCCCCTACATAGTATAGGCTCGAAAACACCGAAACTAAACCCTGAACCCGAAACCCTAGATCCCAAACCACAGTAAAACAACACTAAATCCTTGAACCCCTAGCCCTAAAGTCCTAAACCTAAAACCCGCCACCGTCATCCTCCTAAACCCTAAACCCTAAACCCTAAACCCTAAACTCTTCGGGCTTCCCCTGCAGCTATATGGGTAGTTCTCTAAACTAGGGTAGTATATTGGGGATCTAAAAAGGGACCCGAAAATTAGAGAGCTATCCGTTGTTCGATAAGTTGTTTAGGCTTTATAGGGTTGAGGGTTTAGGGTTCAGAGTTTAGGTTTTAGCGTTCAGAGTTTAGGGTTTAGGGTTGAGCCACAAACTGGGACATGATCTCGGGTATGCCTTGGAGAACATAGCTGTGTTCGCAACACGGTCTTAACAAAGTTAACAACCTAGACAAGCAATTAGAGAACTTCAAACTTGTTGGCCTTATATGTTTGGTCTTCCTTAGGAAGATTGGGCCTTTTTTTGGGTGCGAGCGCCGATTACAGCTGATGGATCATGAACGATGGTGGCATATCCGCCTATGGCAGGCATGGTGCGATCGGTGCGAAGTTGAGATGGGAGCCGTTTACTTTGCCCCGGTCCTATACCATAAACCCTAAACCCTAAACCCTAAACCCTAAAACCATGACATGCTCGCCGCACCTTCTGCAACGAAGCCATCTTTCCTGAAGTTCCGTCGCACGTTGACAGCGAGATGGACCAAGTCCAGCCTGGTTGTTGAATACCAGAGACAACGAGCACAAGACAAACCAGCAGATGTAATTGCTGTCCCTCCCTCTCTCTCTCTCTCTCCGTCGCGCGCTCCCTCTTTCTCTCTGTCCGTTTGTCCGTCTGTCTGTGCCTGTCTGTCTGTCTGTCTGTCTGTCTGTCTGTCTGTCTGTCTGTCTCTCTCTCTCTCTCTCGGCAGGTATGCTCGCCTGACGCTTCTTCCCTACACGACTCTTATCCAGGTGCTAGAAGAGGGTTTCGGGGTATAGTATACTGATACATCGGCTGTAAGGTGTTATAGTGTATTACAAAGGCCTACTAGTTCTCATTATTCGGGCCCCTATTGCACGGAACCCCAAACCCTAAACAGGCTCTACAGTACTTTGAGGATCATGTCATCAGATTTAGCAACTAGGATTGTAAATAAGGCAACTAGCTATAGTTGTAGTTACTAGAAGGTTTCTCTATCCTTGCTTAGCGCATGCCATGATCCTCCAAGTAGATCGAAGCCCAGGTGCTGTTTCCTGCCTCACTGATATTGGCGGCACTTTTTGAGGCTGCGGGCCGTTGCAGCCGTAGTTTTTTAGGATTCAGGGATGTTGAAACTTTCGGATCACCCTTCCAGTGCACCTTATTACACCCTTATAAGCATGAACCATAAGCCCTAAGCCTTGCCTTGAATCTAAGTTGTCAGTTGAAGGTTTGGGGACCAAGCCTCGTTACGATCGTCCAAAACTTACCGTCCGCCGAAGGGCACTGGTTAATGTGGGGGCCTAAATAGGTACCTATTCTATTTTTTTATAGGGGGGGCGGGCGGGGGGGGGGGGGGNNGTATAATAGACCCCCAAAACCCTATTCTAATTACTAAGGCCCCTACATTTATGGGCTCCGCACTCGTATGCATGCTCCTTTTGTGTTTGGTGGTTCCGTGGTTCCCTTGCAAACTGATCAGTAGATAACATTTAGGGGTTCATATGATCCTATCCTACCATTTGCCATTCATGACTTGAACAAGTTAACCTTCTTGGGCGAGGGTCCTCAACCCCTAGCGGCCCTGGCATGGAGAAGACGTGCTTCTAGGGCCTTCAAGAGGAGGGGCTAACATAGGGGCCTAGATGACTACCAATATTATTTTGGAGGCTCCTTGTTAGAATTACAGTATACTGGGTCTGTTCTAATTATTAAGGCCCCTATATTAACTTCGGTTGGATATCGATCGATCGTAATTGTCAGCTTGAAGGCATGGACTTGGTTTAGGTCCCGAATCAGGCCCTGCACGCTAAACCCCAAACCGTAAACCCTAAACCCTAAGACCTAGACACCCTTTATCATATGTGTACATATATACATATATACTGGTTTATGTATTTATACCTTCATTCATTCATTGGAATATGGCCCTTTCCCAACGAAGGGCTCGGCCTTCGTTGGACAACTGCGCTTTCTCGGTGTTTAGGATTTAGGGGTCAGGGTTTATAGCTAGGGCCCAGGGTTCAGGGCCTAGGGGTTCGTATCATGGGTTTAGAATTATTCTGGGTCCTGAATCGTAGGGTTTGAGGCTTCAGGATATAGGTTTTGGGGTTTAGGGTCTAAGCTGTAGGATTGATTAAACAACTATGGTGTCTCAATGTTGCGGGCTCCTGGGTGGGTGTCTTTCTTGGATGAAAACAGCGAACTCGACTCGAGACTGCTCGATCCGGAGCTGCGCCTAACCCCAAACCCTCAACCCTAAACCCTTAACCCCTCAACCCTAAACCCTAAACCCCTAAACCCTAAACCCCTAAACCCCTAAACCCTAAACCCCAAATCGTAAACCTTCCCTTGGGGTTCAGGTTTTCCGGCTTGCCCTTCAGGGTTCCTTTAAAGGGATCCATAGGGTTCAACTGAGGGCTCATGTAAGGGATCTATAGGGTTTAGGGTTTAGGGTTTAGGGTTTAGGGTGCCCTTAAGGGACTTAAGGGCTTTCGAGGGGCGAAAGCCAAAAAAACCCAGGCACCTGCTACTTGAGGGCTCAAGGGGCCCAGTAAGTAGGGTTACGGTTTAGGGTTTAGGGTTTAGGGTTGAGGGTTTAGGGAATTGGAATTTTGAGTGGCCCGAACAGATTTACTCTAAGAATAACGTTACGTCTAACCTTGCTTACAAAGTCCCACGTGCCCTTAAGTAGGGTTCTGTAAGGGCCTTCAGTGTACAGAACATATATAGTAGAAAGCCGAGTCTCTGTGGTAGGAATTACGTTTATGGTGTGGGTCAGCATCCGCCATATACGTACTTAGGACCCTTTGGGTACGGGCTCTATGATAGGATTCTTTGCCGGGCTCCACAGCCATGTAAGGGCTTGGAGAGATTTCGATGTACATGTCCTTAACAGGGTAGGTGTTCCAGGGTCCAGGTAAACCTTAACCCCAACCCCAAACCCTTTTACCTAAACCCCTCAACCTTAAACGCTGATCCCTAAGCCGTAAATCCTAAACCCAAAAGCCTAAAGCCTAAGCCCTAAACCCGAAATCCTAAATCCCTAAACCCTAAATCCCTAAATCCTAAACCCTAAACCCGAAGGCCTAAAGCGTAAGACCTAAACCCTAAGCCCAAAGCCCTCAGCCTCATTCCTCGAACCCAAGGGTAGGAAGGCCCAGCACCTAAGACCAAGCCTTCAACTCTACGACTCCTTGCCCTCCATCCGAACTTGCAGAACCCGACTGCGGTGACCCTTGTAGTCCTTGGGGGTTCATGGGTAGTTATAAGTAGGGTAGCTGTAGTTGAGTTTAGGATTTAGGGTTTAGGGTAACTGTAGTTATAACCCATCGTAGGAGACTTATAACTCATTTTAAAACTACCCATGAACCTCCAAGTACACCATTTAGGGTTCAGGGTTCACTCGATCCCCAGGGTTCTCCCGTTAAGAATCCTCTGCAAGAACAGCTGAGGGACTGATTTGCTCTGTGGGATGGGATGGGGGGGGGGGGGG